ATAACCCTCAAATTTTTTTCGAAACATAAGTCGATTTTTTTAGTATTACTAATAATTTTTATAGTATTACTAATAATTTTTATAGTATTACTAATAATTTTTTTTATTAATCATTTTAAAAAATTCTAATAATGTTGTGAATAATAATATCATCGTCTGGCTAATCATAATTAAGAATAAAAATTATACGAGCATTAACACAGCCTACTTTTATATTATTAATATACTCTAATTAGCTTTCTAATCATCTAAATTTATGATTAAAATATTTAGTGTTGCGGAAAAGATCAGTAATTCATAATGAAATTTTATGATTAAAAACTTACAGGTAAAGTGGAATAATTATCATAGAGCCCATTTTTCTTAATATTATTATCACAATATATTATCTTATATTAATTATATTATATATAAATATTGATATTGAGAGAAATATGTATTTACTAAAATATTTATGTATTAAAGGTTTATATATTAATGTTCTCTTGCAGAGTTTTCAGGTAAAAATTATTAGATATTAGATTGTGGTAGATTTTTGTTAAAAAAAATTACTAATTTCTAGTCTAAAAAAGTACTAATTACGGGTTTTATTTAAATATTTACAAAAATATATCATTAAAAAAGTTTTTAATAATTGTTATATCATTTTTAAATTTATAGACCGCTAATTATATAAAATCCCGTCCTTTTATTTAGATAAATCATAACAAATTTGAGAACCGGGGCTCAAATAGAGTGGTAATTGAAAAATTTTTTGGGCTTAAGAAACATGATATTTTTATAAAAAAAAATTCAAAAACATGATTTTTGAAAAAATTTAGAATGTGGGAGATTATGTGATATATTTAAAAATTAAAAAAATTGGCGCAGTTAAGTTGAGTGTGTTAGATTTCGAATTTATGAAAATTGTGAACAATTAGTAATATGGACCTGTATTTCCATGTAAATATGTTGTTTATTGTTACATAAATCAACAGACCTATGCTTGATTATGACATTTAAAAAAAAACCATTAACCAGAAATTATAGGAAAAATTGTCCCCATGTCTTGAATAATATAAAAAAATCTATTATTTATTAGTTATATTTAATTAATACATTTATTATGGTCTTCCTTAATCCTTTCTATATAGCACCAACTTTAATAAAATAATGAGCAAGTAATTAGAAGGAAAAAAATATATATTTAGGTTATATAATTAATTTAATTAGAAAATATATTATTGGAGTAATGATAAACGGCTCGATTTGAGCCGATTTTTAAAAACGGCGAACTCAATATTTTATCCAATAAATATAACGTAAGCCTGAAGATTTTACTTAGTGTTGTTAATTTTTTGGTTGTGTAAAACCTAGACCCGGGGTTTGGGTCTAAAAATTGACTAAACCAGCTCTGAGCACGAACCCCGAGCACAGACCTGGGGTTCAGACTCTCGTTTAGACTCGGGGCTCAGATGAATAATTTTATTCCAAATAGTTCAAAAAAATATTTACCAAAAATATATAAACAGCAAAATGCAATAATGGCATTTTCTGAGGTTAGATAGTAAAGCCCTGCAGGCAACTCAGCTTAGGGTTAAAAAGTTTTAATCGGGACCACCTGGGGCTTAGAAATACCAAAGGATCAAAATGAGTTATTAAGTTAGTTAGCCGAGCGATTATTTCCGGCTATACCATCCTAGTTCAGAATTAGATACGAACTTTCTAGCGGGATTTGTTTTATTTCATCGCTATTTTTTAAATAAGTAATGATTTTTTTTCTAATTTTAGAAATGTATCTTAGACAAGTACATTTATAACATTAGTTCCTAAATTCGGCAAGATTGAACTTGAATGGAATATTTTGAATACTTTTGGATCGTTTTTATTTAGGTCGGGGGGTGGAGGGAGGTTTGTTATAAACAAGCGTCTTTTTGTCCTGCCTATTCTGAAATCAAAATATAAAAATTTTCAATTTACACTTTTTACAAAATTTGTATAATTGCTATAATTGGGTAATGGCGAAATACAAACTAACTAGGCTCAATCTTCAGGCGCTTACCGAGGTTTCACGTCAATTCGGCGCGGAAAATTTGGCGCGGCGTCAATTTGGCGCAGCGTTAATTCAGCCCGGCGACAATTCTGCGCTGCGAGAATTCGGCGCAGCAATAATTCGGCGCAGCAACAATTAGGCCTGCGTCAATTTAGCGCGGCAACAATTCGGTGCAGCTTCAATTTAGCACGATGTCAATTCAGAGCGGCGTCAATTAGGCGCAACGACAATTCAGCGCGTATCACAGCTGCAATATTATAAATTTTTTAGTATAAAAAAAAGGATGATTAAACAGAAGTCTTTGAATGTTAGTCCGATTAATTGTATTTTTTTACAAAAATCTCAATTTTATTTACTATATGTGTAATATCAACAAAAAAATTAATAATACAAAAAAAAATTAACAATCAATATTTATGCCGATTTCTTTGGTGGACCAATTTACCATATTATAAGGTATGTTGATTAGTAGCCTATATTATGTAACCCTGGAGAATTTGTGCATAGAAGAAAGAAATAAAGAAAAAGAAAGGTTTGGACCTTCTCTAATCTTACATATTATTTTGGCTAAAATCATAATCGACCGTTTTTAAAAATAAGCCCAAATCGGCCCGACAAATTAATGCGCTTTTTTTATATATTTATATTATAGGTATTGAAATTATAAATACACTAATTGAAAATAAAATTATAAGTTTTACATTAAATATGAGAAATTTGATATTCCAATTATCATGGATAAAAAAATATAAGTAGCTTAACATGACATTGACTTAAAAAATCAAAAAAAAAGAAACTAAAAAAAATTTGTCCGATTAGATACATTGAAAACAAGAGTCGGTGAAACTCTTTATTGAACTATATGATGTTGTATTTGTAGCACTGGAATTTTATATACCAAGCAAGGAAAAAGATTCAGCAGATGTTGAGAATCTTTTGCAGGCTATTATTAAACCACAATTTTTAATATCTATTCATTGTGTATATTTTTTATTTAAATTTACATATGATTTTAGCAAAATGCTACAAAAAATTGATTTGGATTTAAGGGAGGCTATGAATAGAATTGTTGAAATATTAACAAATATTAGAGAGAATGTGGATAAAAATTTCATGTAATATGAGAAAGTAAAAGAGATTGCTAATATGTTTGGGATTGAAATTTTTAAACCTAGAGTAGTTTCCAGACAATCCAATTGCTCAAATATTGCTGCATCTACGATTGAGGATTTTTAAACATTTTTATTCATCTTATTGATACATTTTTATTTAAATTAAAGGAAGATTTATTAGTTTGTTTTTTTTAAAGGATGAGATATTTAAATAACAAATTTCACAAATTTTTAAAAAGCATTTTTTTCTTTTGCAGGTTGTGTCTAAACTGTTGATTACGCTTGAAACACGAGAGGACATTAGGAAAATCTCAATATAGTAGGCTCATATGATAAGTTACTTTGTGATGTCTGATTTTGGTAATCATGACAGAATAGAGTATTCTTTGAGACCAAAAAATGATCTGCAGACCCTTTCCATGTGTAATTGCACTTTAGGTTCCCAATATCAAAACATTATTAATTATTTTAGCTACATTACAAATTAGTACCTGCACTAATGAAGAACTTTTTCAACTTTAAAAAGGTTAAAAACCTATTTAAAAAATCCTACCGGTGAAAAATCTTTTTTTTTCTCTTTAGCTTTCACCTCTTCTGGTGGTAAGCTCCTTCAACATCTCTCTCCACTTTATGTTATTCATACAATCTCTTTTATCTAATTTATACTTCTTTATATTGGCTCTAACTTTATGGCCCCGTTGAAGTTTTGGCCTTCCTCTTTTACTTTAGCCCATCACTTCCAAACTCTCAACCTTATTTCCTATGTAGTTCATAGGCCTTCTCATTGTGTGCCCATACCACCTAAGTCTGTTTACCATTAACTTAGTCTTAATGGGCACTACCTTTAAACTACTCAGTATTCTTGTACTGCGTACTTTATCCTTTCTTGTTACCCCAGCAATTATCCTCAGCATTCTCATCTCCATAGTTTGTAGACTTCACTTGTCTGATTCCTTGGTTGGCCATGTTTCCGAACTATATAGAATAGTTGGTTGTACTATGGAAATGTAAATTTTTCACTTTAATTTGTGTGGAATTCTTTTGTCAAATAGCACACCAGATAAAGATTTCCACTTTAACCACCCTTGATTAATTTTATTCTTTATCTCTTTTTCCATTGTGCCGTTTGTTTATATAGTGGAGCCCAAATATTTGCAGCTTTCAATTGCCGATATTTGCCATTCATTTATATCAATACTCTCTGTTTCATCTCCTCCTATCACCATATATTTAGACTTTTCTCTATTTACTTTTAGTCCGTGCTTTTCTAGGATATGTATCCAACTCACTAATCTTTCTTTCATTTCATCCTTGGATTCAGCAAGTATCACAATATCATCTGCAAATATCATATTCCACGAGACTGTTTGAGGTATAGACTGTGCTAATACATCTATTACTGTAATGAAGAGAAGTGGGCTGAGAGCCGACCCTTGATGAATCCTTCGGCTATTATGAAGCCTGCTGAAGTATCTGTTGTGCTACGGACCATTGTTGTATGGCCCATATATATATCCTGTATTATTCTTATATATTTTTCGGGAACCTTTTTGTGGCGTAGAGCCCATCATATAAGTTTTCTTGGGATTCAATCGAAGGCCTTTTCTAGATCGAGAAAGACCATATGTAGCCTTTTGTTCTTTTCCCTGTATTTTTCACTCATTTGCCTAATTGCGTGGATAGCATCAGTTGTAGACCTCCCAGACATAAAGCCAAACTGAGTCTCTCCTATTTAGATTATGTCTCTTAATCTTTTTATATTATTTTTTCGTATGGTTTTAGACAGTGGGACATTAGTTTTATGCCCCTGTAATTTTAACAATTGTGTGGGTCCCCTTTATTTTTGAAGACAGGAACTAGATAGCTCTGCCTCCATTTTTGAGGAACTCTTCATTTACAAGTATTTTATTGTATAGATTTGTGAGGAAGTGTATTCCACCATCTCCTAGTGCTTTAAGGCTTTCTATTGGAATATAATCTGGACCCCTAGCTTTGTTTTTCATATGCCTGAGGCATATGATTATCTTTTGTTCTGTTATTGGTGGTATAAGGTTTTGACATAGGGAGTGTTCATCTAAATGTAGTATGTGGGGATTAAAGTTGAGAAGCTCCTAAAAATATTCTTTCCATCTATTCATTATTTCTTTTTCCTTTATTATCAATTTCCCATCTTTATTCTTGATTACTTTCGGAGCTCCGTTTATATCCTTAGAATTCTTTTCTCGCTGTTTGGCTAATCTGTATATTTTATTTTGCCCTTCTTTGGTAGGTAGTTCTTCATACATGTCATCGCATAGATTTAGCCCTAGCCACCGCCTTTGTAGCTATTCTCTTGGATTTTTTGTATCTTGTCTTGTCATCTGGGTTTTTGGATTTGTACCATATTTTATAAAGGGCTTTTTTCTCCTGTATAGTGATTTGTAACACTTCATTTTACCACCATAGTTCTTTGTATGATTCCTTACCTCCACTTGTAAAGCCTAGAGTGTCCATTAATCTGGATGAAAGGTCTGTCACATTTTTTCACTGACTTGTGAGGAATCTATTGTTTCAATGTTTGCATTGATTGCAAAGGCATCTGTCATTGTTTTTAATTTACCCCATTTGATGCATGGTTCCAGTTTTATCTTGTTTTGAGTGGATTTATTTGTGATGTCGGCTATATCTTCTCCTGGGATGACTTTGCAGTCTATTACATCTTTAAATCTTCTACGAAAGATTAGCATGTAATCTATCTGTGTTTTCCTTGTACCCCTTTCATATGTTATTAAATGACTGTCTTTTTTCCTATAGTAGGTGTTGGTTAAGGCAAGGTCGAAAGCTTGCGCAAATTTCAGTATATGCTCTCCTTCATCATTTTTTTCTCCATATCCAAAACCACCATGATGCCTTTTGTTATCTCTTGCTTTTCCCACATGTGCATTTAAGTCACCACCTATTATGACTAGGTCATCCTTAAGGATTTTCATTACTGCTTCATCAAGGATAGCTCTAAAGTCATCTTTCTCTTTTTCTTTGCAACCCGTTTGAGGAGCATATACTGAAAGGATGTGTAGCATTGATTAGCCAATGCAGAGTTTTATCTTCATTAGTCTATCAGAGATCTTGTTGATTTCTATTACTGAGAAGGTTAGATCTTGACTGAGGATGATGCCGACACCGTTCCTATTGCTAACAATTCCATTATAGTACAATTTATACCCATCTCCAATCATTATATTCTTCTGACCTTTCCATTTCGTCTTTTGTATGCACGCATCAACTTTTCTCTTGTTCAACATTGATTCCGATTCTCTCATCTTACCTTTAAGTGTCTAGTTATAAGATACTAGGTAAAATTCCACTTTTACAGACATATTTGACAGTTAGAGAATATATAACAGTTAATAATCTAACAAAATTTACTAATCAATGCTCTTGATATTAAATATAGCAACAATTTGCATTCAATTATTTAACACCATCTATATTATTTAAGTAAAAATGATATTTAAATTTAATCTTTATATTATTCATCCCACAATGTCTTTAAAAGATATTTTCTGATATCCTTATCAATATTTTATAGTTTTCTGTAAAATATATAATTCGCTATATTGGTAAAAATTACTTGATTGTCATTTGACAATTAGATATAGTAAATCGACGACATATAATATTCCACTGTTTATATTGTGCTTTAATATTTTTTTAATTTTTGATTTAATTTTATCAATAGTTTTATAATTATATTTTACTTTTATTAAGATAAATAAATTAAAATTACTCACTTTATAAAAAATTATATTTGATATATTATATTATTTAGTAATTTTATGGATCTATTATTAATAATTATAATACATTTAACTTCTGTCTTAAGACTTATCTTTGGCTTATATTCCATTTATTAAAAAACATTTTTGGTTTATTTTATATATTTATAAATTTATTTTCCCAAAAATCTATAAATTATGATGAATAGTTTTATAAAAAAGTATTATTTAAGATATATGCATACATATTTGAGGGTCAGGGAGTGGGGGGAGGACTAAGGGGGATATTTATTATTAGCTAAAAATGATATTTACAAAAAGTGATAAATTTCTGAAGGGGGGGGGAATTTCCCCTTGCCCCCCCTGGCTACGCCTATGGTCCCAATATTCAAACTTGCTAATCTTGTCTTCTTTGCTTTGACCTTTATTATACTTTTCACAGGATGGAGGTCTACACCCTGCGCGTCGCTTGAAGGGAACGCCCTAGCTTTCATATTCATATTTTCATTTGTTTCCTTCATTTTGTTTATTGTACAAGTATCCTTAGCACCTGGCTATCCAGGCCTGTCGGTGACCGGGATGTCATCTCTAAGCTCCAAAATTCATATTACCATATGTCATTACAAATCAGTCATCGAAGAAAAACATGAAAATTTTTATGCTCCTTACCAGGATTGAACCTGCCCTCTGTGTCCTTCTGTTTCCAAGCATATATCATAATCCATTAGGCCACCCCGGCGACTAACCCTATTAAATATTTATAAGGAGATAATTCTAGATAAAAATTTGATTCTAGGTGCCATTCCACGTCAAATCGATCACGATTCGGCCGACCCCTTTTAAAATTGTTAAAAATTTCTGGAATTATTTAGATAGGTAAATGAGTGAGAAAGCCGTTTATTTTAGCTTGCTAGCACACCTGGTTCTCGAGATATAGGGGCTCAAATATACAAAAAAGAGCCACTTTTAATCTGTAAAATTTTTTAAATGCTTATATCTCAAAAACTATTTATAACAAAAAATACTATAATATATCATTTAATAGGTATAGAAATTCTCTAATTGGCTAACAAAGAATAATAAATATTGGCGCCATTATAGGCTTTTAACATCCGGTTTACCTAAATTGCTTTACCTATATTTTTAAGTAAAATAGTGAGTTTGTTTTCGATTTTTTTTATTGCTTTTTATTTAGACACATTTGCTAAATATATATAATATCAAAACCTTGGCGACGCTATCGATTCCAAAAATTGATAAAAAAATAGATGGCGCTTTATGAAATTTGGATTATGGTTAAAGTTTTGCTACTATCTTATCAATAACCAGATATTTTCACTTTTTATATTAAAAAATTTTGATTTTTTATTAAATATACTAACTAAATGAAAAGCAGAGTGGGCATATGCCCATTAGACACTTAAAAATGTAACAAATTTCTAATAATAAACATCTTTCATATAATTTTTTTAATTTTTAAGGTATCTTCAATTTCATCGAATTTTTCATCATTTGATAAAGATAATGGTATAATTTTAGTCATTAAAACTTTTTTTTACTCTATTTTTTTCTTGGAATATTTCTTTTTAAGAGATTCCCCATTTGATTGTAGGGATATATTAATGCTATCAATAGCCTCTTGATTAATTATATGAATGAGAGAATCAATATCTACATTGTCATTTGAAGTATAAGGAATGTTTGCTAATTTTTGTCGCCATGAAGAGCATATTAACATATCTAAATTGAATGATAATTTTTTTTGGGTCATCCAGGATAGAATCTTTCTTAGATTCTCGCGATAATAAGCATGTCTTTGTAGATTAAATGGGTTGCAACAATTTAATATTTGGTACGTCCATCTGTGATATAGAATAAAATTTTAATTGATCTACACCTAGAATACATGTTTTTGCACTCTCCAAATCCAGAGACGATAAAATTAATCTGAACGGACAGGTTAAAATTATTTTGCAGAAAGAGAGATCGTTTTAAACAATTTATTTTGTAAAATATAATCGAATATATGCCTAATAAAATATTCATTTTTACTGCAGCTGTTATATATTATCGAGCTAATAAGTCATTCGCTCGCTATAGTAGCAAAGTAGAGATCTAAAATTAGTAAAACATTTTAAGGATAGTGGGAGGGGGGAGGGGGCAGAACTGGAAAATTTTATCACAATTCTTATAAAGGTATCAATATTTTCATTTTCCATAAGAATAATATTTTTTAACCCTTAGAGCCATCTACTTTTTTCTTAAATTTTTGGCAAAAATGTATATTTTGGAAAAGTCGATAGCGTCGCCAAAGTTTTGACATCGTATATATTTATAAAAGTTGTCTAAATAAAAAGCAAAAAAAAAATTCGAAAACAAACTCATATTTTGCTTAAAAATACAGGTAAAACAATTTAGGTAAACCGGATGTTAAAAGCCTATAATGGCGCCAATATTTATTATTCTTTGTTGGCCAATTAGAGAATTTCTATACCTATTAAATGATATATTTTAGTATTTTTAGTTATAAATAGTTTTTGAGATATAAGCATTTTAAAAATTTTACAGATTAAAAGTGGCTCTTTTTTGTACATTTGAGCCCCTATATCTCGAGAATCAGGTGGGTGTGCTAGCGAGCTAAATTAAACGGATTTCTCAATCTTTTACCTATCTAAATAATTCCAGAAATTTTTTAACAATTTTAAAAGGGGTCGGCCGAAGTGCCTTTTTGATCGATTTGACATGGAATGGCCCCTAGATGAATTAGCAAAAGCTCAGAGAAAAGTAGACCTCTCTTTACAAATTCAAATTAAAATGTTAAACGACCGATTTGGGTCATTTTTAAAAACTTAGCCAAAATAATATGTATATCTTATAAGGTGATAAATTGTCCACCAAAGAAATCGATATAAATATTGGTTGTTTTTTTTATATTATTAAATTTTTTATTGATATTATACATATAATAAATAAAATTGAGATTTTTGTAAAAAAATAAAAAGAAATAATTAATAGGACTAATAATTTAAATGACTTCTATTTAATCATCCTTTTTTTTAATACTAATAAATCTATAATAAATTGCAGCTGTATTAGATACGCACCGAATTAATGCTGCGCTGAATTGACACTGCGCCGAATTTTATGCACCGAATTGACGTGACACCGTTTGCTGAAGAACGTTAACATTGAGGCTTTTTAATTTATATTAATTTCTTTCAAATTTGAGCCTCTATATTTTTAAGAATAACCCCGAAAAGACAGAGTGATAATTTTAGGCTAAATCGCTTGGTCTAGCCATTTTTTGGCTAAAAATATGTTTGGTTAAGAAGTTTGTAATTAAAATTGTTCAAAAATTTAAGAAAAATTATTATAAAAATAAATTTAAAAAAATAATTTTCTCAAAGATTTTCTTTCAAGTTTTTAAAAGTAAATGTGTTATTTTAATTATTTTTGTAAACCAAATATTTATACCTGAATGGATTTTATTTATTCACAACACTGAAAAATAATAATTAATAAACTTAACTTCATAAATATTAAAAAAATGGAAATTATTTTTATAAAAATTTTCTATATAAACAATAACTTTAAAAAATAATAATTAATAAACAACTTCAAAAATATAAAAAAAACGCATGTTAATTGTTGACGATAATTATGCTAAAAAGTAACAGGCGTTATTTTTCTATATTTTTGAAGTTGTTTATTAATTTTTTTTTAAGTTAATTATATAAGAAAATTAAAAAAAAAAATAATTTTCGTTTTTAATATTTTTGAAGTAAGTTTATTAATTGTTATTTTTCAGTGTTGAATAAAACCCATTCAGATATAAATTTTTTGTCTACTAAAATAAATAAAATAACACATTTACTATTAAAAACTTGAAAGAAAATGTTAATAAAAACATTATTTTTTAAAAAAATTTATTTTTATAATAATTTTTCTTAAATTTAAGAACAATTTTAATTTTAAACTTCATCAAACCAAATATATTTTTAGCCGACAAAAAAATGGCTAGACCAAGATGTTAGCCTAAAACTATCACTCTGGCTTTTCGGGGTATTCTTAAAATATAGAGGCTAAGATTTGAAAAAAAAATTAATATAAATTAAAACACCTCAATGTTAACGAATTTTCTTCGGCAAGCGACTTAAGATTGGACCTAGCTTGTATTTAGCCATTACCCAATTATAGCAATTATACAAACTTTATATATTTTGACTTCAGAATAGACAGGGCAAAAAGTCGCTTGTTTATACCCCCCCCCCTTCCCTAATAAAAACAATCCAAAAGTATTCTAA